TTGCAGAAGACAAAGATTTGGTTAGACATCCACGACCTATGAATTCAGGAGACTAATCAAATTTGTTACTCTGAAATTCACCCTTTAAGTTAATAGAGAAATAATCTGCAAATGTCATTCCTCAGTGACCTTAAAGCTAGTCTGATCAATATCACTTGATAAGGATAACTTAATAATGCAGCAGCTGGCTAGAGTCTTCTTTTCCTGCTGACTTCCTCCTCCTTTTTCACAGATTCTGAGATTTAGTAGTCATTTTTATTTTCCTGTAAAAGCATAAGAAGTATTTCTTTATTAAGTAGCAAGATATTTCTTGTTGATTAGATTCTTCAGCTCTCACAAATCTTAGACCCATACTGATTTTACTATGTACATTTTCTGCTATGCATGTCACAACATCAAGCAATTGTATTTGTCTCAGAAAAATGTCATGTAATTGAATCTCCCCTCTTTAAAGAGTGTGTGCGTTTGGACCTTACAGTGGTCTGCCAATTTAAATTTAGGGCCTCAGTTGTGCAGTCCTGAAATATGTTTGTGTGGATTTATAAGATTACTTTTTGCTGGGTTTTCTTTATTTGTTTTGTGAAGAGACTGCTATATTGAAGCATACCTTTTGGGAGGTCTTTAAGGAAAAAATCTTTAGGATGTTTTTTGACTTTTTTTCAAATAGATTTATATTTATGTTCCTTTGTGCTCAAGTAGAATAATGAGATGCATTGGGTGACCACCACCAGAACAGCCTTGATTTGAGAAAATGCTCCTGAAGTAACCATTGAGCTTTCTGTTTTGACATGTTACTCCTTTTCTAGGGGTATAAAAATAGCCCGTGGCAGTATTGTTGAGTCATGCTAACTGGACTTTTGTGCAAGAATTTTGTACACTTTCCCTTCTTGCTATCTTTCTGAATATAACAACGTTTTTGGCTACATGAAGGTACTTTCTGCATTGTTGGAGCTGGCATGTTATGCTGAGAGAATTTTCCTTCCAGCATAGTTTATCTAAACTGCCAACTCTAGAACAGTGTGTGGATCCAACAGCTGAGAATGTTTGATTCCATACTCTTTCCCCTCTCTTGGGAAAGGACTCCTCAATATCTTAAACATTTATACAGAAAGAGGACGTTAAACCAGTGAGTTAGATATTTTCATAGTAACATCAAAATCCTTTTTAGGTTCAAAAAGCTGAAGAAAGGTTCTTGTCATGTTTTCCTTTCTTCATCTCCATCTCAGGCAGCCTTTTGCCCATTGGCTTCCAAGTTCAGCACTTCTTTCTTGAGCCATGCTGTCCATGAAGCTTTCAAGTCTTTATGAGAAAAGAATCCTCAGCTTTATGCTGTTACTGCTTCAAAATACACCTCAGATAAAGTCTAAGCCATTGTTTGTAATGTAAGTTAACATGATTTGTCATATAGAAACACAATGACATTCTGCTTATTCAATCACACTGGGAAAATAAATACAAGAAATTTGTTTGACCTCTGACTCAGAAATGAATTTAAACATCTGAGATAAACATAAAATGAAACATACACATTTTAAGAATTAATAAGTCATTCCTAAATTTTCTGGTTGTTTATCTCTCACTATTGATTAGCCTCTGATTAACAGAGGATTTTTTGTTAATTCACAGCAAAGGTATCAAAGTAACTAGCATTGCCTTTAACACAGTAATTCAGTGGTAACAGTGAGTTAGATTTTGTTATGGGACCTGTGATTAGTGACAGATAAAGTGTTTTCATTTGCTTGAAAATCTGGGATGTTTCAGTTAACATGGAAACATATAACTGAAGGTTTCAACCAGAGAATGAGAAAAGCTCAGTCGTGGTGCCTGCTGAGACAGAAAAGACTTTCCTAAGTGTGTTATCACAAGGTGATCGTAGAAATATAGTTAGTGAAATTTTAACGTAAGTGCCAAACTTCCATACATAATGAATTATTTCTGTCATACAGACATATTTACTGTATGACTGCGTTCATACAGTAGCACTTTGCTATTTAGAGCAATCTGCACAAGTGATAAGTACAACAAATATTTGTAAAACTCAGGGAAAAGGATTAAAAGTAAAATTTATACAACCTGTTTTCCAAAGAATCTTTAAGCAAACAGAAGACCAAGACCTCTCTGAGAGCAAGAATACTTTGAGGGAAAAATTTAATGCTATTAATTTCACTAATGTGAAATCTGCATAAGTAGAACCATGCAAACAACTGCAGTCCAGGGAAAAGGAGAAACCAACGGGGAGACAGAGGTGGTTCTATACTAATTGTCTTACTGGTTCTTGTTGCCAAAAATATTTTAGAAAAGATGTTTTACTGCTTTATTTTCCGTGTACAGATTAGAACATCTTGTGGTCTAAACTGAATATCAGATCTAAGTCTGTCTGAAGTATTTGAGACACTAAGAAAGCTATTGGTATCATTACGGAATTTTTCAGTTGTGGACTGTCAGGACATTTGAGTTATCCGGAGCTGAATCACGTTGTTGGGGTCCGAGGCAGGACTGCACATGTGCCTCATGCTCAGTTTCTGTTGCCTAAGATTTTACCGGCCTGTCCCTTCCTGTGAGCAGGCTGTTCACTCTGTAACACACAATGATAGCATGAGGTATGTTTTTAATGCCTTTGTATAAGCTTGCTTTCTACTGCAGATGTACCAGAGGTGCATCGCTTAGCAGGGTTGTGTGCTGCAGTACTACTAAACGTTTTCCCACTGGATTTAGTCCAGTCTGGGATCGCAACTGTCATGAGAATGCAACAAATCACTTTGAGAAATATCCCAGTTTGCCCCTATTGGTCAGTGCAGTGTTTATGTACAGCCTGAAACAGACTCTGTGATAGAGGATAGGGTGTTCTTGAACTCTGTTAATAAGATGTGCTTACAAAAATTTGAGAGCTCTGCTTCTTTTTATGTAGCATGCTAAACCACAGAACTACTGTTTGCTAGTTTGAACAACTCCTGATTTGAACCTCATTGGAAAAAAGCCAGGAAAGCAACTGGAGTCAGTTCAGAAACAGACGTTCTTGATTCTTACAGTAACTTTCTTTAAAACAAACAAACAAAACAAACAATTTTCAGAAATGCACATGATTTTTTGAAAGAGTATTTTAGGTCTTCACAGTCATTTCTTGAGACTCATTATCCATGTGAAGAAAACGCTGTCAGTAGCAAACCACAAGGCATAAAACAAATGCCCTAAATCTACAAATCTTTGCTCGTTTTTAATCTTATTTCAACAAATTAATGTACATCATTGTTTACTTCTTATCTGGCCACTTTCTTATCTTAAAGCAGTAAGATACCTAAAAATGTATAGCCTTGCAAAGAGATATATTTAGAAGCTTTCCAATGTAGTTCATGGCAGAGCTGCCATACAAAAGAAGCCTCCTATTGTTTAGGTTACTCTGGACATGATGGAGTAGTGCTTTTGTCTGTTACTGATGCCCAGATTAAAAAAATGCAGCATTTAATACAAACCAGATAGAAAAGTGACTTGGATGACAGAAGCTCTGTGAGATAAGAATATAAGCATGCTGGTGGTAATATCTCAACCTCTTCTGTAGGAGCTTTTGAGGGGGAGAGCGGGGAGAGTAAAATGTGCATGCGTAGCCTCATCTACTGCTTTGTCATTAATAGCTAAAACTGGATGTCATGATTTCCCCTTCCTTAAAATGACATTTCAGTTTAGTGCAGAACAATGCTATTTTTGAAGGCCCGGATTGATCGACTGGGCCCTGCTGACTGTTATGTGTGAATTATGGCAGTTTCTGAGCTTATTAATCAGGGGGATGGTTTAAAAAACCAACAGGCAGCAAACTACAAAATGAAGATATAATGGATGAGATTTACAGAAAGTAAATATTGTGAAAAGTGTGCAGAAATAGAATGAGAGCTGTTGCTGAGAAACATCTTGCAAAACTATCCAGCTAGATGCTGAGCACAAAAAGATAGTGTGTGAAAATAGAAGAAATAATAATGGGATGGAGAGAATCCCATCCCATTAGATGTTTAGAATGTTTCTAAAACGTTGCAGTGTGAACGCCGCAAGAGAGCCTGCTTGATTTTAGTTAACTTCAGTTGGGTGTGTAGCAGTAAAGCTATTTCCTAAATATGTAAACATAACTTTAAAAAAAAAAAAAGGGGGGGGGGCAGGACTATTTTTGTGTATACGCTGAGGGAGTGACAATATTAAGTGTTTATCAAATTGCCTTATGCTCAAATATAGGAACCTATTAATACTAGTTACAGAAAACTGGAGAAATTGTTGGTTCTTTGAAGTGTAAGCCAAATGACGCGACTGCTGTGAATGCATATTTTCTTTCTGAGGTGTGACTAGTTGTTATGAACATGATGAGTAAACTCTTAAAACAAGCATCATTTCCCAGTTTAATGGTGAAGATGGCCAAAATCTTGCTTATTTCATTTGTTTTCTCCTGTTTGACTTTTGGTAGTTTTGATGTTTGGAAATAGATGTTTAAGCATATTTGCAAATGACAGCTGCATTGGAAGATATTAATCACTGAATGAGTCATCCATTGACCTGTATTAAATAATAGCAGTGTGATAGAGCTAAAGATGACCTGAGTTTAGGGAAAATGGAATATGGAAATGGAAAATGTTTTAATCTGTCCAAAATCTGTTGTAGGTTAAAACCACCTGCATTCTAGTTCTCAGAAGTGTCTGGTTACTTTAAAAAACAAAACCAAAAAAACTCACCACACACATGCCAGAAAATTGGGACCTGTAATGTTATTAATAAAACAGAGAGCAATTGACTAGTTCAAATAAAAATATGAAGGAAATTTCTATAGGCTGATCACAACTTCAGTTGCTTGGGGCAGTCCCTTCTTTCAATTTCAGAACAGTGGAGAGAGACAAAAATTCCTTGATGTATCTTAGAATAAATGTATCCAGGTCTGAAATTATCCATTGCAAAAAATTGTGAAATATGCACTCCAGTAGCAGGTGACACACAGTCCTTCCCCTCTCCCCCCAGCAGAAATGAAGAAGCAAGATGATGTCAGAATTGGAGTGAAATTGCTGCCTTACTTTGGAACAAAAAGAATACGGTAAGCAACTCCACAGGTATGTGCTGTGGTGATGTTTTTTTTGTTGTTTTGTTTTGTTTTTAGCTACACACAAAGCTATTCAGAAGGCCATGGAGCCTAGGTTAAAGGACAGGTTTCCACGTTCAAAATTGGCCTCTATGGCTGGATCCCAGTGTCCAAAAGGCTGAATGAAATGCATGCTTTCCCGCTTTCCCACACTAGCTGCGCTGAATGCCTAGGATCTTCAATTTACCCACTATATGGAGAAGTAATCCTGAAATAATAAACATGCATGTTTTTGTGTCCAGCTTTTGCAGTTCAGTGATGAAGTTGTGTTCAGTAATTATAATACTGCTATTAGAAAAGTACTCGATGAGAGAAGTACATGACCTGTATGTTGAAAATGCTGCTTGTGCCTAACTGTTCTGCATTTTGCTTGTCTGTTAATTTGCTTCAGTCACATATCTGAAAAAAAAGGTTGTTGGCTTCACTGTCAGTTTTAGGCTCACAATGGCCCTTGCTAAGATTGTTGGTTTTGGCTCTGGCAGTCTGCTTTGGGAGTCAACTTTATACAAGAATGTTGAGAACTCTCTTCTCCTCTGACTTAGAAAGCAGGGCTTCCATCATTAGTCCGTAAACAATCACAGTTTAAAATAGCACTTTCCCATTAGAAACTGCTTCATGTTACTTATCACTAAAACTTATTTTTAATGCTCTAAAATGCCCTCTGCCCTTCCTTTTTCTTCTGATTCTTATATGGTTAGGAAACTAATGGAGCACAAGGGAATTTTGTTAAATCTCTTTCTCTTTACATTCTTGTCATCTTCAGTTCTCCAGTTTAGCTAGTTGCAAATAGCCGTTCTGATTCAGAGGAGTTTCAACATAAGCATTTACTTTTACTATCTTATATTTGTCTCAAACTACATTTTTGACTAAAATTTCTAATAATCCGTGTCAGTTGACTTACGAGTCATTGAAATAACTTGTGCAAAAGCTGTATGGTCAGGCTTACTTAAATAGGAAATTTTTCTTTACTTTTTGTTTGTTTGTTTTCCCACTTTTTGAAAAGTATTCCTAAAACTTTGTGGGAAAGCTGAGTCACAAATTTTAGGGTTAGCACTGTGAACGTTTTCTGATGAAAGTGTCCCAATTTGTTATTGCATAGCCTTAAAATTATGTGATTCATGTGTCAAATGGTCAGTTTAGATCACAGTTTTATAGGCAAGTTCTCTCTAGATGTCTAAAGATGGGCCACTGTATGTACTAGATTATGTAAACAGAAGTGATATTAAAGAGATATCAAGAGATTCATCAGCACATTCAGTTCATTACCTTTTAAACGCAGAAGACTGACTGTAACTGGAGGCAGAAGTATTTACTGAATCACCAGTTTTCAAAATAAATGTGGTGGGTTTGTACTCTAACGTTGGCAGGCAGTATTTTATTTAAGAGTTTAAATAATATTAAGAATTAATGTTATTTTTTGTATGTGTCAGAAGCAGTGCTTTGAAAGAAAAATCCGTGTGCCTTTAAAGCAATAATCCCACCTCACTCATGGAAGTGTGTGTGGGTAGTGGTAAGGGTCTTTTAATTTCTCCGTTTGGTGGAAAACCAGAAGTTTATCTTCCAGGACAGTTCTGCAGGAGCACAACGAAAGAACTTTCTCTCTCTGCTCTTTGACCCTCCTGGACTTTGATTATAGTAAAAGATGTTCTTGCCCCATGCACAATAGGTAGCAAACTGATGGCTTTCCCTGTAAGATGCACAGTAAAACTTTATAGCTTCTTCATACCTTAATTTCCTGGAGAGTGTAGGGAAATCCTCCAAAAGCTTGTAGGCTCAAATTCAGTATTTTGCGCTCCTTGAAGTCTGGAAGGACTGTAAGGATTTAAGAAGAGGGGGGAGGGTGTGTGTGTCATATTTGGCAGAACATTGAGGGAGTGTTCGATGGACTGAAAGTGAAGCTAATAATTGCAAAAATGGTTATCACTGGGAGAAAAAGGGCAAAATATTTTACCTGTCAACTTCAGAGTCATGCTTGGGCCACAGAATTGCACACATATGAAATAGGTGATCTTTGTCCCGGAGAAACTAAATATTCTCAAAATTAAAGCCTCTTACCTCTAAAGCTCCATCCTCTCTGCTGTTCTTATACTTGGAGTGTTGTCTTCTGCTCTGTTTTGCAGGTTTTGCTGGATTTGGTTTCTCTAAATATCAAACTATTTGTATATAGCTCTTCTTGCTTTTTTTATGCTGCTTCAGAATATTTTATGCTGAATGTTCTGTAGCTTCGCTAATGTTTTATTTTGTTGTTTGTTTGTTCTAACATAGCTTAGTTGAAAGATTCTACTGAATTGTAAGTGCACAATCCTTAATTGTTGTGCAGACCAAGTACTGGAATTCACAATTTCCTTTCAGGTTGTGACTGTTGTAACACTAGAGATAATTTTCCAGAAGAGCATATAGAATCCTACTTTTCTAGAGCAAAGAATTCTTACAGAACAAAGAATTCTTACAGAACCTGATCAGAAAAGTAAAATACAACAGACTGATTCCAAGCCTGGAAACAAGTTCAATCACAGTGATTGTAACTGCTCTGATGAAAGAGGTCTCTTGCTAAAGAGGAGATGGGGAAGAGAGTGGCTGTCACAGCATTTCTGTGCTTTGGTTGCATAAGGGGTTAAACTATGAAGCAGCAGTGACATGTAAAGGATGAAAGGGAGTGCACAGAGAGAACATTACTCTTTATTTTGTGACCTGTCTCTTTCTCAGTGTAAAACTTCCTGGCTGTACTGCAATTAATATGATCATTAGGGAAATATCCAATGAAGTATAACCTGACTGCAGGACTGCGAGCATTAGAAAGGGCTTTCTGGCATGTCAGGCTTGGCATTAACTAAGCAGGAATAATAATTGTATGCACAGTAAGATTTCAAAGACTTCAAAAACAAACAAAGAAAAGAAAGCCCTAATAACAGCGGAGATGAGGGAATGAGTCCCATGTTAGGTGATGGCAACTGGTTATGATCCACGCCCTCTTCATCTTCCTGGAGAAAGATCTGTTTTCCTCCAGGCAAAATTTAACCTACGCCCTTTAGACCAAATAGGCAGTACAGTAATCCGTGTGATGCATGTGGCATTTGGCTAAAGGTGAACCCAAGTCTGGCCTGATTTGCTGTTCCAGTCATAAAGGGTTCTCAACTTTGTTTTTCTTTCCTTGGAATCTAAATCATATTTTTGTAATACAGAGACCACCCATGTCTTGCTAATAGTGGTGGTGGTGGTTTTTTTTGTTTTTTTGTTTTTTTTTTTTTTCCCCATAATTGTTTTCTTTCCATATAAGCAGCGTTTTAAGGCTGGGGGAGGGGGACAAGAGGGGGCAGAAAGTAAGTGGTGAATCTTTAGGAAAGCAGTTGTCTGTCCAGCTTGAATACTTACAGCTTGGTAGACATCTTAAACATCTCCTCTGACGTCTTGAGTTCATAGTGTGTATCTATCTCAAAAGAAGTGGAGAAATAGACGTCCGTGACCTTCTTAGGATGAAGTGTGCTGCAAGCTAACAGTTATCTTGAACAGAATTCATTTTCAGAAACCCTTTCTTGCACACGTGTCAGTTTCTGGGCGCTTGGGTACAAATACATGAGCAGAATTATCAAGTCCATCTCATTGCAGAATTTCCATGTGGAACAGAAATATTGAATCAGCCTGCATGTTTCAACTGCAGCTGTGAGGAAAGACAATAACTTTCCAAAATATGGAAAGTCTTTGGGTACAGTGAAAACAGCAGCAAAATATGTCTTTGTGGGTTCCTCTTCCTGCTTTTCAGCAGTTAAAGTCTAGCTGTGACATCGTCTGGTTCTTCATACCCTCTCCCCTCCCCAGTTGTGCTATAGGTTTATTCGGATGAGAACTCGTTCACAATCCAAGAAGTTCATGCTAAACAGTAATCTTATTTGTATTGCTCTTCCTTAAAATCACATAAGAAAACAGACTGTCACCTTTGCTCTGCTCTGTATTCCCTAAGTTGTGATTTAGTGTAATTGCCATCAGTTAGATGTTGCCAGCAAATAAGTGCTTTGTGGTCAGTAGCACACAGCCCCATCACTGCATTGTATAGAAGATGTCATTGGAAGGAGCTTCTCAGTCAACCTAACATTGACTTCTACAATGGAATGTGTAAAAAGGAATTTGAGGGAGAAAATTTCAGCATTTAGCATGCAGATGTGGAAAAACGTGTGTTTCAATTTAAAATGTGTTAATTTTCATTGCTCCTTGTATTTGATCTGCAGAGTCCATCTCTAGAAATCTTTCATATACCCTTTTGGGACTTTTTTTCATGAACAAGCAAGAAGTTCAGTGATAGTGGAGATCACTGTTGTGAAGTGAACCAATGCAAGTGTACTGTGAAGTTTCAGTCTTAAGAGCAGAAAATAAAAAGCAGCTAAATGAATAAAGATGGAACAGCATACAGAAGGAATAAAGATAGAATGTACATGTCTGCAAGAGCTGCCCCCCCGTTAGTATTTACTAACACAAATTTTGCTTAAGAACAAGATTTTTAACAGTAGCTCACAGCAACTTATAATGTGGTAGCTCTTTGCTGTTCCATTTGGATGTTATAGGTATCTTGTGTTTGGCAAGACTGTGCTTTAAAGTGTAGTAAGAAGAACTTTTAAGGCGGCCTGATATGAAAGGAAGGCCAGCACCTGAGACTGGTTTTGCCATAAGAAGAAAGCAATATCAGAGTTTCATTGTTTTTTGAAGAAATGCCAAGTTTATGCAGGTTTTGAAGTACCACATGCAAAATCTTGAGGCACTGTTTCAATTGCAGTTTTGATATATCAATGATAAAATAAAGACTGAGTCCCTAAATCTGCAAATGCAGATATACAGCATTCTTTTTTTTTTTGTAGTTTCAGTGTCATGTATAATAAAGAAAAGTTTCAATGCAGATTTGTTACTGATATGCATTACTTTGAGGCCTTCTGTTAAAGCTTAAACTAAAGAGCATAAGCAGCACTTGACTCCAATTCTGATTTTTTTTTTTTTTTTCTTCCTTCAACATACTCTATTATTTTTCCCTGATCATCTTTGATCTTCATTTCTTTCCTGTGCTGACTGGCAGGTGGCTCCTACTACTTATGAGTAATGGGGAATTAGTGTTGGGGAAAGTGAACCCTCTAGGATTTGGAAGAAACTAAGTCAAAAACCGTTAATGCTGTTTGTATTGAAACAGTTTCTGCAGTGGGTTCTGCTGTTTTTCCAAAGGAAGCGACAAAATTTTACATTTGTGCAGTGTGCACAGGCTTTGGGCTATACCATATCTTTCTGGAGAATGCTGTTCTCGAAGGCATAGAAATTATGAGGGCAGCACTATTTTAGGGCTCATTACTAAAGCAAAACCACAAGCATATATTTCATAGTTCACAGAAAGGTTTTTTCCTATGTCAAGGCTCCATTGCCAAAATTCCATCCCAAGTGAGTTTTTACATTCCAGTGATAATCTCCTTGAAATTAAGTTTTCTGATTTACATTTATATATTTACATTTGTAACAATAATATTCAAGTATAGCTGACATATATAATATGAAATGGAAAATGTCATTTAAATAAATTTTGCATATTGGGATTCTACTGTATTGCAAACAAATGTTGGGAAGTAATGCAGGATTATTCTTGTAGTGCAAGTCATTTGGCAAATTAGAAAATTTGTAATGTGAAGAACTAAAGGAATTAACTGAGACAATTAATGGTCTATTATGAATAATTAATAGAGTTAGAAGCAAGTCTTGGAAGGACTTTTTCAGTTGCTTGGGAGTTGAAAAAAAATCCAATTTAAAACAAACCCAGAAAAAATTCCTAGTAATCTGGCAGATTTTGTGATAAAAATTCTCTTGTGATGGAAGAGAGGAATGCATATGAAAGCTGAAAAATGTTTCCTTTTCATAAGATGCTAAACTAAGTTTATTCCCTATAACTTTATATATAAAAAAAATAGGGTTTTTATGGCTGAATGAAATCTTCCAAAGTTCAGTAATAAATTGCAAAACACACAAAAGGTTTGCAAAAGAGTTTAATAAATAATGAGGTTCTGTGTGTACTGTATAAACTATAAATACACCATGCAGTCCTTTATAACTTAAAATAATTTACAGGCTGAGGTAGGGGAATAGGAGGATGTCGTTGTGGGTTTGGCTTCAGGGTCTGCCCGGCTTCCTGCTGAGCACACACACGCAGGCTGTGTCGATGCGGATGAAGCGCCAGGCCGCTTGCTTGCCCTCCATCGTCAGCGCTTTCACAAAGGTGTGTGTTGTGGTGCAGTAGGAGTTCCAGTGCTTGGCATCGATCCCTCGGCACCCGCTAGACACTGGTTTAGCCTCCCTACACTTGGTCTCAAAAAAGTACTGCTTAAAAACATTGTTGTTAATGTTGACCTCTCCCAAAACTGTCACCTCTTTGCCTTTGATATCAGTGGCTGTGGTTTTGTCCCCGACCCACATGCTGACGCTGTCACATACTGAGAACTCCCCTCGGTGCAGGACAGGATGTGCCGTCCTCTTGATCCGGGAAGTCCTGTTGAGAGAGTCGGCATTGCCAAGAAATTCTGTGTGCTCTCCTTGCTCTGACACGGGTGGGGGCTGCGTGCTGAACAGGACTCGAGGGGATCGGAAGCGCCTCTTCTTGAACAGCTTTGGGTCCACAGTGATATTTACAGCTTCTCTCCTATCTACCGTCCAAGTAGAATGCCTGTGGGATGGCTGTGGAGCTGTCTTGGGAATGTGCTGTCTGTTAGTCCGGTGGGGATTGGATGGGGAGGGTTCTGTAGGATACCCTGGAGGTGCATTGTCTGCTGACTTTGGAGCTGCCTGTGTGCCGATCAAAAAAGCTATAATCAGAGTGTAGTACAGCATGGACATTACGCTATGCACCTAGAACAAAAGAAAAACATAGTTTTACTGTAAGCCATGCTGGCACAAACAGATGTTGCTAACAATAATTTTGTGAGATACCCAGATCATACAGATCTCATCAGGTATTCATGTGGGTGCCAGATGTTCCTCCAGAAGAGCTCATTTGAACAGAATAAATGTTCTTAATAGAGTGAGAACATTAGAGAATAATAGCTAGATTATTATTAATTCCTTTGGTATTTGTTATTAGAACACTGTTTATGAAGCACTTGTTTGGTGTTATTAATGTGGAGACCATATGGCGACAGCATGTTCCCAGGAATAAAATCTCACAATTTTTGCAGCAACCTTTTTTGGCCAGGGCTGCTGCGTTTCTGGTGTCTTGGCTGCAAATACTATGAGTTTGGAGCGATCTCATGACCAAATTTACCTTCAGGGATGCTCTTGGGGCTAGGATAAGGGCCACCAAGCTGGCACTTTTGGAAGAGAAGAATCCCAGTGAATCCTGCCGATCCTGATGGCCACACTTACCTGCCATGTGGACAGGCCTCTGCGCTAGCACTCTGGCTGGCGCAGGAGCCTCCAGCAACCTCCATCTATCCCACATGCTCTTTAAGGAAGCACCACATGGCTGATTGGGGGCAGATAAAAATATGCAGGCTCCTTCCCAGAAGAGCTCTGGCATCGTGTGTCACAAGGGCAGATGGGATTTTTCCGAGTTCAGGCTGCCTATTAGGACAAATATGTGTATTACACAGGAGCACCATGGGTTACAGATTACTTCTGGGTTGACATCGTAGGTATAGCATATATAAAACCATTGTGGCCATAGTACTGGGAATTACGTTTATGGAAATAGTCCCTTTTCAGAGTTCCATGATCAAGAAGTTCCACAAATGTCACTGTATAGCAGATCCAAGGCATATGCTCGCCTGCCTTTGGTCTGGAGAACATGAACATCTGCTTGGGTGTGGAAAAACGTTAGACAAAATTTTAAAACATCTCTCAGAACAATATGTCAGAAATCCAGCAGCAGTAATACCTTGTTAGGTAACCACTGTATGTTGACTAATTCAGCCACATGTTAGGTAACAAATCAGCAGCAGGCATCCTGGGAATAAGAGACATTCAAAAAATGCTCTGAAATTGCAGTTAAGGGCAGACATTACATTTCCTCTGTGGAGAATTTATAAGCAGAGACAGGGTATAAACAGAACAGAAACTGTCAAGTCGGGCTCCTCCCCGTCTCAGTTGCGTTGTTTTGCCTGACATGTCTCAGCTGGCCCTGAATTTCGCCGTGTCCGGCCAGCAGCAGCCAGCCGCACAGAGACTGGACAAACAGGGTTTTGGAAAAGAGGAACTGGGCTCCGCAGTTCCACTGTGATTTCCCAGCATGTCTCAAAATTGTTTTCTGGGAGAGGGTCAGTTACTGCATGAAGCTCTGCCTTTCTCTTCAGCTTTCTGAAACTAGAATCCAAAGCAGTACTAAAGCACTCACCAGGGCTTTGGCTTTGCTAGAACATAGTCTCATATAAAGTGCAGAACCCAAAGTTGTCCCATAGGATCTTGTGTGAACACAGTTATCTTAAGAGCTGAAATGAAATAAACAGCTGTGTTTTTGCAGGGCTGGGTGAGCATTTAAGAAATGAGCAGATGGTGCCAAATAGAGGGAGTGACTGAAGAGGGTAAGGATGCTACAGTCCCTGAAGCAAGGGGAGTAAAAGGCCAAAAGACACGTTAACAAGTTCTCCATACTTGCTGGAGTGGAAGAATTGTGGTTGAGAGTTGCTGCTTTCTCACATGCTGCTTTTGTTTGAGCAGCCATCATCATCTGTATAAGGAAGCAGAGCTGAGTGTAGCACAATAACTTGGCTACACACAATCAATGAGTAACTCAGTCTTTTACAACAAAATTAAAATCAGATGGTTCATTACATCTCTAAAGAGTTAGCTTATTTTCCAGCAGAAATGTTATTGGAAAAAGTTTTCAGAACTAAATCCAGGCACAATTTAGATATGCTCATAGCAGCCTCAGCATATTGTATTTACACATAAACCCTTCATTTATACTTCCTTCTATAGGAAAAAAAACATGCTAATGCTAGTAAGGGACTGTTTTCTGAATTTTTTGCTATGAAAAATTCACTGCTCTACAATGCAACTGCCTTTATCGTCATTCTCTGAGCTGCTTATGTTGCATATCCTAAGATATTGCTTTGAAACTATTAACACAAAAATCAGAAATTTCTCACTTTTTTATGTTTGTTTTTTGTTTTTAGCTTTGTGTTTCCTCTCCTTGTGGTGAAGTATTCTGCAGTCAGGGTGGCCCAAACACAGAGAAAACGTGTTTGTGATAGCTGGTAGTTTTCCTGAAGTTAGGTATTTTGAAAGTTGAATCTTTTCATCAATTAGGAAATTAGTGGAAAATAGAATTTAACAGATTCAAAGTGGCCTAGCCTTGATGACAGTAAAAACAAACAAACAAAACCCTTTAACATATGAAAAAGGGTAGGCCTTTGAGAACAGCGGACTGTCTGCTGACAAATACGCAAACACTTCACCGGTTGTTTTGAGGAGTTTTTTCGAAGGGATGCAACTCTTTGGTGGTGCTTTTTGAAAGTGCTTGTCATGCTGCTAAAACAGTTACTTTTTAACTTGAAGGGGGACTACTCTGCTCCTCACTTATGTGTTTATATATTGTTATGTCTTATTACTTTATTTGAAGTGTTTAAGTATTTAACACTTCTTCTAGTATGGTTGCTCAGGCTACTGTGTCATAACGATATTGCAGGATTTCGGTCTGTTCTGAGAACAGTGTTTCTGTCGCGCTTACCTCTGAGAATACTGTGTACAGAAGTGCTCCGCCAACGGGGTCCTCACTCCGTGCGGGTGCCGCGCTGCGGCTGGCAGCACCGAGCCATCGGGCCGGCTTGCTCGCCCAGTGGAGTCTGCGACTTGTTTGCGTCGGGCTGCAAGTAAAACTTTTTATTTCAGTAATTAGCCAGCAACTGAAGTGTCTTCCTCACCTTCCTCCATTTGATGGCAGGAGTTCAGGGACAAATTCACTTGACTGACTTTCTGAGCTCTACCTTTCTCACTGTAGCGGCATAGTTGTCTAAACTGCAATTCTCGCAGCCTTTTACAGGCAGCATCTTCGTAAGGCAGAGAGCTGCCCTAGCAGACCTTGGTTAACCATCTGCCATCCCTTATGCTCAGTGCAGTGAAGCAATACTGCCTTCTGTCACTGTCTGTGGTCAGTTTATACACTAAAGACAAGAACTAGGGTTTAGATATCTCACCATCTTCGTCAGGGGAGCAAGTTGGGCAAAAAGTTAAGTGTAATTTGTGTGCCAGAAAATGCAGCTGTTGTAAAGCCAAGTCCCTCTTACTGGATTGTCCACATGGGTCTGAACAGCACTACTAACAGCCCCATATCCTCCTTCTGTCACAGTATTTCAAATGGTGCACTCTCATTGCACCTTCTCTGCAAAGTATATGAACTCATGAAAGTGATGGAAATAGTACATATTTTTATTTTAAATATTTGTCTTAGATATTTAGGTAGTTGATCTGTTGCCTTTAATAAGGGGAATAAGGGCTGTGTAAGGTAGTTCTATACTGCAAAGGCTACTGCTGAATTCAGTATGGAGGTTCAAGTACTGGACTAAGCAGCCCAGAATGGTGATTCCTAACTGGAGTTGGAAGGGACCCCTGCAGATTGTCTGGTCTAGGCGCCCTGCTCAAGCACAGGCAGCTACAGCAGATTGCACAGGACCGTGTCCAATTGAATTTTAAATATTTCCAAGGATGGAGATTCCACAGTCTTTCTGGGCAGCCAGAAGAAAATGCTGTTAACATTAAAAACCTAAGGAATGTTCAGATATTTAAAAAACAGATTCATTTTACACATTTTCACCTTTTCTGTCTTTGGGAGCGCTGACTAGCAGTAAATATGGCCACTAGCTATGGCTCTGTTACTAACATCCCAAAATAAAGCCACCTAACTAAAAAACTGATTTTTTTCATGTCCTTTTTCAAGCATTGCAGGGCATAAGAGTTTAGGTGTTAAACACTCATTATATTGCTTTGTGCACCACCTCTATGATGATTTGTTTCTCTTTGTGGATCATGGCGCATGTTATGCTGTGCCTACGTTTTGAGTATTTCAGAGTTCAGCTAGTTATAATAGTCTAAATGTATCAGAAGGGTTGAAGAAAATTCTAAAAACAAAAGATTTTGCAAGAATGTGTTATTAAAATAATAACCCTTTCAATGTACTCTGTCATTTTAGTAGCAGTAATGATAGAGCTGTAATAGGCAGGCCACTGCCAAAAAAATCCAACATCTTTTCCAACTGTTCTACCACCCTAGGAAAACAGTGCCTCAATTTCAACTGGCTGGTTATTTAACCAAAAAAAAAAAAAAAAAAAAAAAAAAAAAAAAGTTTATTTTCATCAGATTTTCTTTTTTTCCTTTTTTTTTTCTTTATTTTTTTCTTATTTTTTTTGGTTAATGTTCTTTTGCTGTCATCTTCCCGGATTCCCAATTGTGGCAAAATCCAGTAAATGATGCAGTGCTATTCAAATGATGCTGAAGACAGTGTCTATATTTCCTTTGTACCTACCATTGCCAGGCATGAATACTGTATTCTACAACTAATTCTTTCTTCACAATCCGCATGACTCAAAATTGCAATCTTGGAAAATTAAAACCTTATATTTTTATTTCTGACCCTCTGCACATATAGAGGAAGTGGCACATTATAAATATATAAAATCTTACTTGAATATGAATGTCTTGTAGTAATTTGCAGTAAAATGCAGCATTTACCTACCTGTTTAAGGGTTGTCTAAAAAGCACTGGAATTGAAACATAAAAAATTTCTGTCCTCTTCTCTTTGCTAATCTTTTTTTTTAATAGTTGTCTTATCCTGTAGGACTGGAGTATGAGTGTAAAGAAAAAGTATATTACCCAAAGTAGTACTTTAAATTTAGTGGATTTACTAATTTACCTGGTTCTGGTAAGAATTTAAGTACTTAAATGCCAAATCTCTGTATAGATGTTCCAAATAACTCTTGATTCCCTCTCACTCCGCAATGTAGCTCTTGATTCCAGTGTAGATCAGTTTAAATTCATGGTGTAGTACAATTAGCAGCTGGGTTATAACGCATGTAAATATATACCTGAGAGTTTTGTAAATTCCAGATTTTACAGCTCTCTATGAAAACTGCTGTTGAATTTTGACAGGTCTATTTTCGTAAGAAATACAGAATGTATCTCTCTCAAACTTGCCATCACCAGTAAAGTATCATAACAATGGGGAGAAAAAAAATGCTATACTATGTTGAAGTGGTTCCATTTCATGACTATCACTCATCTGTCAAGAAGTGCAGCGTGGAGTTTGGCTTCCAGGACATTGCCCACTTTTTTGCCCACTTTACACATGGAGCACGTGTATTGCACTAGGACTGCAGGGACCAGAGACTCTCTAGCCAGTAAATTGCCATTTGCTTTCTGATGTTATTTGCAATGATGAATGATATGCTGCTTATGTGGCAAACATGACTATAGAAGTCAGCAAAATGAATGTCTAATTAATGTACAATTAGTATGGAATTCAAGCTTTCCTTCAAAGGAGTGAGTTAAAAGTTGCCGTAAAAGCTGAGTGTCAAGTGATGTATTAGTTTTATCTCACTAATTCTGGCAGTAAGAGAGCAATGGGAGTGGTTCTTGGTGCTTAAGTTGCTCATAAAGAGAAGGTGGCTGCTGGCATGTAAACACCACAGGAACGTTTGGACAGGAACATGAATGAAAATTGAGCAATAGCAATTTGGGCAAAAAAATTCTAAGTCCTGGGGAGGCCTTGAAGGGAATCCTTAACCCATTATGACTAAGAGCAGTGTCAGAGGCACAGCTTTTCAAGTTTCTCTTGATCTTGATGAATAGGAAAATGAGAATTTCTAATGGACTCATGATTTCATTCCTCTGTTATATCTACAGTGACTCATTCTTGAAATAAGAGCTTCATGTATGTGGCAGAGCTAGTTGTAAGCTTCCTGGGTCTCATACACTTTCATTAGTTCCAGATGCCTCTGGTGCTAAAATGTGCCTTTGAGTGTTTCAAGGGAGATCAACAGACTGAGGAAACTGCTGATCTGCAGCAATGATTGTGTGTCCTATCACTGTGATGATGATGATCATCCCAATATGTGCAACGCACACGGATCTGTCTGCTAGGTATCTGATTTGGATTTAGCCTAGGCAATGATCACTTGTGCTATCACGCTTCATAGCACGTGGTTCTTCTGTCCCTTTTGGATAGTTAAACAAAAATTGCACTATGAATCTAGACCTGCAAGGTAGAGAACCACCAAATCAGAAGCTGATAAGGGGTTTGGGTTTGGAAAACAGTTGTTAGAGTTTAATTTACACTTAGTGGGGGTCTAAGTAATGGTAATGACTTAGGTGCAGTAGCCTAGTTTTATCATCCCCGATCTCCTGAACCAGAATGTAAATATTTCAATTGCTGGTACCTCTGCAGAGAAGCAGCCTTTAGATGACACTATCACTGTGCCCATCTGCCCAGGCCCCACTGTGCTTTTGAGGATGTGTTCCCAGCAACACCAAGTTCTCTTAAAACCTCAGCTTTATCAGTACTAAAACCTCAGCTGTCAGTAATGGAGCAGCAGAGTATGGGTTCCTTTGTTCTCTGCTCATGCTTTGGCCCAAAAAGGAAAACAACACAACTGTCTGCCACCAATGCTAGCTTCATTGGCAATACATTCTCTGGGAGTGTTAGGGACCAAATGAAGCCCAGTTGTGGGAGAGATCTAACCTGTGGGAATAGGTACAGGAATTTTGCACTAGGAATGTGCAGCTCCTGAGAAGATTCTTGCACAGGACAACTTGCTGAGCTCAACTTTAAAAGGCTCACTTTCTATCTAGTGAATTCTAAAACACTATGGAAGCAAATTCTTTTTCTGGCACCATGGTACTCTAATATGCAGAATATGCTCATGGGAATTAATCAACAGTCATCAAAAGCATGGTTTTGTTTGGATAACTACATGATTTTAAGGGCTATTCTGTTAACAATTTGCAGTATGATGCAGCTGTTGTGACAGACAGGTTCTTCCTACATCGATTTACATACACACAGCAGCCCTGACAGAAGAGAAAGTTTTATCATATTTAAGATAGCAAAAACAAACCAACTTGCACTAAATAAATGATGGTAAATAATTGTCACTATGAGGCTAAACAGGTCTTTGAAATATAATGAAGGAAAATGGATTAACGGTGACTTATCAAACTATTGAGAAATCTCAAAATAAATGACAGAAAAACCCTGAAAAGATCATATGATTATGAATTTCATGAAATCAATGGTCTCAGAAACAAAATTACATGATGTAGAAGTAAAAACTCTGGCTAGAAATAAGTTATCTGAACATACAGTTGTATAAATCTGGATTGTCATATCAGCATCCATAAATCCTGAAATTAATGACTGACCAGTGGTGATTAGCTTGGAGCTTTTGATATGGACTTCAAATGGTATATGCATTTTACAGGACTCCAGGGTTTCATAAATCCTAATTTACTGGCACAAAGTAGTGACTGATGATCTTGGGCACTCACTGACAGGAAAGTTACTGCAGCATAAATGAGATAAATCCATCCACCATATAGAAAGTTGCATGGATTTGAAATCTATGGAGAAGGATGCCTTCATCCCACCCAACTCGAAGCTATCGTGCAAGGTTGCTACGCGTTCCTCACCAAATAGAGGAAGAGCAGTCATCTTCTAGTTGGCGCGCAAAGCAACAATGCCAAACAAACTGCATGGGTACACGCTTCCTCTACAGCTTGCCCAAA